ATATACATACATACATATATATTCAGATATAGAGATAAGTATATCAGTGCACAGAATTGGGGCTGGAGAGATGGTTCAGTGGTTAAGAGCACTACTTGCAGAGGACCTGAGTTTGCTTCCCAGTGGCTGACAACTGTTCGTAGATCCAGTTCCAGGGGATATGACACCCTCTTCTGACCTCCACTGGCATTGCACAACATGGTGTACTTTTACATATACAGGCAATACACTCATACACATAAAATAAAAATAAATAAAATATTTTTTTTAAAAAAGGAGTGCACAGAATTGATCCAAAAGCTTTTGCTTACAAGGTCATATTAGCTTCATTTCCATACTATTAACACAGTTCAAGTTTCATTAGCTGATTTACTATGCCATATCCTTCTAGAATAAAGACATAGACTTCCATATTCATCATAACATAAGAGTTTTATTTTCTCCCTCTACCAAGATCTTCCACTATACCCACACAGGTATGTATGACCTTTGATTATCACTGAGGCAGGGTGTCCTCAGCCCTCAACTGGCAGTCATTTCTCTAATTCTTTCCCATCATCAAGGGAGAATTACTTATTGCATAGTTGACCACACAACACTAATTGTCATAAATTATGCTTAAGTTCTAGACAGGTCTTCATGATTCCTCTTCCAGAAAGCCACATCTATAAGAATTCCTTCCTCATTATTACAATTATTATAAACTATGATGATTGTGTTATTTTTGCCATTCATACAAGCTAACAACAGCCCAGTGTTTGGGAGAGCCAGTAAAAGAAATGAAAATATTCAATTAGAGACCAGAGCTAATTCATTATTCATAGCAATAGCAACAACCTGAATTTCAGCAATTTTTCCCTTGATGATGGACTCATACTTTGCACAATGTGATGCAAAATGGCTATTTAGACCAACACCATTTTTTTATTGGATTGGAGTAAGGATTCCTACCCTTTGTTCCAGAGGGAAGTGTACTTATTACCCAAATCCTCTCTATAAATTTGCTCCTTCCTTCAGAGACATTATCTCTGTCGTCCAAGGCTGTTTTCTGTTGAAACATTTTTCAAAAGATAGCCCAAATCAAAGAATAGCTAGTACCTTGTTTAGCAGATGTAAAGAAATGTAACTCTCTCTCTCTCTCTCTCATGAAATGTCTGGTAATGTACCATGTTCAAATACACCATGCAATGCCAAATTTTTCTCCACTTAAATTTCCAAGAGTACTGAATAGGATCTCTATCATTTGTTTAATGAGTCAATACATGCTGGCAACTATCATGTTGCTGATCTAATTGTGTATGAGATCATATATATACTGCTAATTTCCATTTTCTTGATTCTTGGTGAGATTCAGATAGTTGATAAACATTTATTAATCATATCCTGTATTCTAAATGTTTTTTCTAAATAGTTAAGATACATTGGTAAGCAAAGTGAAGAATAATCAAGCACTTTCAGGGTAAGACAAATAGCATATTTTAATTAAGTGAATTACGTAGTATATTAGAAGGTAATAAACACATTGAAAAAGTAATGTGATAGAAGGTATATTACAGGCATGTATATGTGTTGTAAATGTATTATACTCCCTTTCTGAATTGTTTTTTCACAAATTTGTCCACTTGGAATAATTTGTTTTTCTCTTGTTGTTTATTCAATTAATTAGTTCATTCAATGAATTTAGTTTGCACCTAAATCTTATTTTTCCTTACTTTGTGATACCTTCTGTAATTAGGAAGTTCTATGTTATTTTGATTATATTCTTTTTAAATAATTTATTATTTTATGAGTATGAGTATGTTGCCTGCATATGTGTAAGTGCACTCATGTGGTGCAATGCCTGCCGAGGTCAGAAGAGGGCATCAGATCCCCTGGAACTAGAGTTATGGATGGTTGTTAGCCATGTGGGTGCTGAGAACCGAACTCAGGTCCTCTGCAAGAGCAGCCAATGTTCTTAACTACTGAGCCATCTCTCTAGTCCCCTTTAATTATGTTCTTGAAACTTTTCTTAATCTGTATCCATTGAGCTTTTAGTTCCTATCTATTTCTTAAATTCAAAATTAAATATTCTCTTATAATGTCTTCTAAATGTTTTATATATTGCTTAGCTTATTTCTGTATTAATATGATCCATTCAAAATTTATTTTGTTTGTAACATATAAAAGGGTTTTGATTTTTTACCATATGGATAATGCAGCACCACTAATAAGTAGAATAAATTTCATTAATCACTTGAAATATCACTTCTATGACTGAGGTTTCCTAGGTGTAAAAAAGTTTCTAGGCCATTCCATATGTTCCACGGGTACATTTTATTTCCCTGTTCTAATCCCAAAATGCTTATAGAGCTCTGGTGAGGTGAGCCTGACTTCTGCAATTCTTGAGGCAAAATCAGCCTAGAGTCAATGATGGGTATAGTGAATAATTTACATTTACCCTCTTCTTTCAACTCCTGGAGATTCTTTGTTGCCTCCATAATGTATGGAGAGAGGGGACCTGAGCAGCAACAACTGAACAGTACTCTTTCTTTGAGGCAGAAGTAGTTTAGAAAAGGGTAGGTGCTCAGAAACCAGAGAAAACATTTAAAGAGAAGAGACTTCTGAAAGACAGGGTAAAAACAACATAAAGAGGAAGAGAACTCAGACCCACGCTCTGGATACCATAGTTCTGGGGGACTTTATTGAGGTTGCTACTGCTTCTCCTAACCAAACATAGCCCTTCCACATTATGATATGCAGCCGAAGGAATTAGTTACACAAAATCAGTCCCAAGCCACATTGCCTCTATAGCACCTGGAAGCTAACAGCTGCACAAACTTCCATCATGGTTCACCATGAGTTTAAGGGGACAGTTTGGCCATGAAGTACCAAGGAGGTGTCAGGAGCCAGTCTTTGTGGTTAGGGAATCTTGCCAGACTGGGACTCTAGGGGCCTAATGGCCTCCCTTTGCTGCCTTACTGAGGGGAGCCACCTGTGGTTTCAGGTATTAGTGACAAGAATGGAAAGCCAAGTTCTTTCCATACCCTGAAGAGATGTTAAGCTCTCTCCCTCTGAGGGTGGCAAGGGATATTCCAGCACAAGGAACGACAGTGATAGGACTCTTATGCCAGAGCTGGGGAGGATTCCATTTCTTCCTGATAAAATATGTTTCAAACTCAAGATAGCATGCCTCATATTCTGAGAGCCTCCCTAACTCATTTTTTACAAGTACTGTTTTTCCAGAATAAGGGAAATGAACTATGACTTTCAAGTCCTAGATTTATTGCACTGTGTCCTCTGAAAATAAAGGGAGGAAGCCTATAGGCCAGAGCCTAGAAAGCATCATGTTAGCGTATTTGGGCTTGAGAGTTGCAGTTCTGCTTGCCAGGCATGACACAAACTCCCTGAAATAAAAAGTGCTTTATAGATGACACTTGAGTTACCCTAGTGAAAATGCCTGTCTAGGAAGCCTTTATTACATGTTCATTCTTTTAACAACTGACTATTCTTTTAGGAAGAGAGCCAAGGGGGTCAATGTGGATACCACCCAAAAACTAACTTTTTCTAAGACCTTCCCATCCCTCTTGGGCCCCAATCGCCACAATCTTTTCTTTAAATACTCCCTCAGTCATTCCTTGTTCCTGAAAGTGCCCTCCATCCACCTCCATGTATCTTTTAGCCTCTCCTAAGATCAGTGCCAACTTGGATCTTTTGTACCTGTACTCTGGATCTTTTCTAAGCTTGTGTCCCTCTCTACTTAATTTATTTGATTTTTATCTAACCCCAAGGTCTCACTCTCTGTTATCCTCTACTCTCTTCCCAATTGTAAGCTTCTCCCTCAAACTTCATCCCTCTCCCAGGGACCCTCCCTCTCTTGGTCCTTCTTCATCTCTTCCTAAGCAGTCACCTCCTGTCCCCTCCCCTACATCCCATCTCTAATTATTTTCCCTCCCCCTAGACCAGACCAGCTAATACCCATTCCATTTTTAGATGACTGCTTATAAAACTAGTTGTACTTTATTCACAGGCTGAATTGAAAGCTGTTATCTCATGTCCCATCCACCAACTATACCCATCTTTCCATAAGACAAAGTGTTTACATACAACATGTCATATGTACAGACTTATATTTTTCAGAACAAAATAACAGTTATGCTGGCAATGATGCTGGGGTATCAGAAACACTTAGGCTTCTAATCCACTGAAAAATTAACATTTTTTGAACTTCTACAAATTATATATTTGCTTCCCCACACTGTGCAAATTTGACCCTAACAGGTCTTTTTCACTAAATCATAGACATAGATATGAAAATCATCGTCAAATTTGATGAAGTACACAGAGGGTTTGGCTTTAACTTGGTGAATAACCTTGCCTGTCCTTTTGGAGCCGTCTTCTTTTGTATATTCCACATGTTTACCTATCAGGCCATCCACAACTCCTTCTGGTTCCCTCTCTGCTGTAGTAGACTCACCGGAATCTGGCATAATACGGAGGTCACCATCTTTATAATCATCCAGAAGCTGGTACATGTACAGCACAGGATCTTTCTCATAGGTAATGTAAAACCAGGCCTTCATGATTGGTGCTTGGGCTAGGACCATCCCCCTCCATTCATCCTTAGAGCCATGCTCACCCTCAAACATGTGCTCCACTGCTTTGCCAATTATGGTATCTGCGAGGCTGGCATCACTGACTCTAGATAATGGCACCTTATCAGGAAGGATTTTAAGTTTTAAAATCCTTTCATCCCTGTGAAGTTCCAGTCCATAGACACAGTCAATTCCGTCATATTTCACCAGATAAAGAGAGGGATTTATAGGCACCTGATCTAGAACGGTTCCTTTCCACTGGGTGATGGGCTCATTGCCTTCCTTCCACCCATGTGAAATTCTGCAGCCCACGATGTTTTTCTGTGGCTGGGAGGAAGGTCTGCCCCTCTGCTTCTTTTGGGAAGTCTTTTTCTTCTTCATAGTTGTTGATCCAGTGTGGTGACCTACAGCTTCCCTGGTATGCTGTCTTGCAGGGGTCTTCATACCTGCCAGGGGAGGAGAGAAGCTAAGAAGAAACATTCTGTGTAATATTAAGGTGATTTTTCTCTGTGTTGGGAAGTCCCTGTGCACCAGGTACATCATTGCACAAGTTATGCATGTGTCCAGCAGCAGTATTTTATAGATAGATAGATAGATAGATAGATAGATAGATAGATAGATGATAGATAGATAGATAGATAGATATGCATACACACACACACTCACACACACACACACACACACATATCTATATACATTTTTGGATGCCTGCTTTCAATACCCTCTTTCCAGGCTTGTTTGACTACACAACGGGGTTGGATGACTGTAGAAGTTGTGGTGGTTGAGAGCAAACAAGGGGAATATCTATATACATTTTTGGATGCCTGCCTTCAATACCCTCTTTCCAGGCTTGTTTGACTACACACGGGGTTGGATGACTGTAGAAGTTGTGGTGGTTGAGAGCAAACAAGGGGAAACTGTTTTCCTGGATGTTTCCTGACTATTATTATCCTAGCTGTTGCTCTCTCCTTTCACCATCCCCCATTTTGGCCCCAATCTCTATATCCCTGCATGCAGTTCACATGTCCCTTGCCCACTGTCCTCTGTTATTCGTCCCTCCTTCCTGCCATACCCATGCTTGCTGCCTCTGCTCACTTGATATTTCTTCCAAGCCATCCCCATTTTCCCTTTGAGCTCCAACCACAAATCTATTTCTCTTCCTGGCCACCTTTGTATAGGATCCTGGCGTTCCTTGCCCCGTGCCCCGCCCCCAAATCTCCGTTCTGAATTTCCCTCACCTCAAACGGTAGCACCGCCTCCAATTTTCCTGCCAAGCACTAACCCAATCGTTATTCTTCGGTACACAGTCCAGCACTCACCTGCCCACTTTCTATGTTTCGCAGTACTCACGTGCCCAGATCGGACACAACACTTACCTCCGCTGCAAGCCTTGGGCAAAGGATGATCAGCAGGGGATCAAAGGAGTGCTTGCAAGAGCAAGGCGAGGGGGACTCCGAGACAAGGAGCCCGCCTGGAGAGTCTAGGGGCAGGCGAAGGTGTTAGCAGCTAAGTCCCTGGCGCTGGGCTCCCTAGCCCTCCTCCGGGTGTCCGAGGTAGCAGCACCTGAGCCACATAGAGCTTCCAGCAGCGGTTGCAGTCACCGCAGTCTCCTCCCTCTTTTCCTAGCGTAGCTTCCTGCACTGCGAGAGGCCGCCCCTTCCTGCCAAACACCGCTGGTAACCTCCACCTCCTCTCCAAGTCCACACCACTCTTCTAAGCGGGGGCGTGCACTCTAGTCCCCATCCCTTCCTCCAAATCCAGAGCCAGAGCCCCACCTCCACCCCTACTCCCTCCACCAAATACCTCCTCTCCCTTCGCTTCTAGGATCCTCTTCTTCAGCTTAAGGCCGGAAGGTTCCCCGCCCCCACTTGAAACTCTACGCTTCAAAGCCCTTAACCCCATCTGCGTTCCATCTTTCTGGAATTCGCTGTTTGCTTTATCCATTAAGCCCTCACGGAGTTCTTTATGGGCAAAAATATGCCTTTCCTGTTACGTAAGGCAAGTGCGGCTAGGATGAGAAAAAACCCTATGCACAGTACAATCTGTTGTTTTGACCCAATTTTAAAGTAAGTTTTGCTGATTGATCATTTTCTTGAGGACACTTCTCCCTCTCCACCTCCCACTTAGCCCCCAGTTGAAGAACTGAATGCATAATGTGTAAAATTCACAAATGGACTTAACTAGCTTCACCTATTTCCCATTCCCCTTTCCTCATTCCAAAATACTAGTCATTATTTCTTTTACTTTTCTCTGTGTTCTTAATTTTTTAAGCTTTTTTTTGCATTATTTACACAAACTTCATTGTTAAAAATTATCTGTAAAACAATTTTAGTATAGATTTTTGAAAAATACATAGCATATTTAGCAGGGTAGTAAAATACATAGCATATTTAGGAGGATAGTAAATACCCTCTATGCAGAATTGACATTCAGGGGCTGGAGAGATGGCTCAGCCATTTAAGAGCACTGACTGCTCTTGCAAAGGACTTGGATTCGGTTCCCAGGACCGACATGAATGTTAACAACCGTCCTTAATACAAGCTGCAGGGGATCCAACGCCCTCTTCTGGCCTCTGTGGACATTGCATGACACTGGTACACTTACATACGTGTATCCTAAGAATATTTGTCTACAAAATTCTTAGCACTGGAGGGATTTATTTCTATTTTTTAAGGCTTAAATTGAATTTTAAAATACTTTATTATTTTTATTTTATGTGGTTGAGTGTTTTGTTTGCACCTCTCCTTTCTTCGGATGCACAAAAATTAATGATATGTGTAATTTATGAGTGGATACTGTGTGTTTTGTGTTAAAAATGTTTTAGGGATATGTTCTTCACACTGTATGTAAACACAGTAATTCCCTTCAATGAGATTTCCGGAGATGGCTCTGAGTTTTGTTTTTCTTTTAGTGACTTATTTATTTTTATTTGTACAAGTGTTTTGATGCCAATATGTTCACTGACGTGTGTAGTGCCCTCAAAGTCCGGAAGAGGACGACAGAGTCACCAGGTGAGTGCTGGATGTTGATCCCTGGTCTCTGGAAGAACAGCAAGTGCTCTTAACCCCTAGCTGCCTCTCCAGTCAACTCGGGGGCAGAAGGGGGTTTGACCCAAGAATGTATTGTGTTTGGATTAGTAAAATGGCTCAACAGGTAAGCCCAACCTGCCAATCTGAGTTCAATTCCCAGGGCCCAGATGATGGAAGGAGAGAACCAATTCCTACAATTTGTCCTCTGACCCCCACATGTAGCATACATGTGCCCACACACATACACAAAAAAATAAATAAATAAAATAAATAAATAAAATGTAATAAAAAATTTAAAATGAATATGGCTGCTTTTTAAAATATCATTATACTTGGTTTTTATCCAACTTGTATAGCTTTCTCTAATGAGATAAACATACTCTGATAAATATTAAAGGAAAACTTTTATTTATTTATTGGTGGTCACATTGCCAGTCAGCCTAAAATAGAAGGATGAGATGTTCTATGAATCTAAATTTTCTAAACTTTAAATGCAAATTTTGCCACACTTATCTTCTGAAGCTTTCTGTTTCCATTCAATACTTTGTTTTTCAATTTTCTGTTGTACATTTCTTGCCATTCTCAATGTCTGTCGAGGATGTATATGCAACATTTTTAATGTCTGAAACTATTTTTTGTTATTATTGTTTAAATCTTTTACTGCACTATAACAATGAAGTAAACAGTAATTAGATACCTACCAATTTTCCCCCAAACACACACACAAAAATGTAAATAGGAAAATAACTCTGCCTATACTGGTACAGCTTCTCAAATCATGTTAGAAGGGTCTCAATATTCAATAATCAGAAAATTTAAAAATAGCAGCAATTGGAGCTGGAGAGATGGCTCAGTGGTTAAGAACACTGTTCTTGCAGAAGACCCGGGTTCAAATCCCAGCACCCACATGGCAGCTAACAACTGTCTGTAACTCC